AGTGCTGAAAGGGAGTAAAGGTAATGATAACCTTTCAGTACCTGTATTGCAAACCATGATGCCCAAAAGAAGAGGGAGAGAGAGAGGGAGGTGGAGGGAGAGAGAGACAGGGAAATAGAGACGGGGAAGGGAGAGAGAAGAGGAGAGAGAGAGAGAGAGAGAGAGAGAGAGAGAGAGAGAGAGAGAGAGAGAGAGAGAGAGAGAGAGAGAGAGTGAGGGAGGGAGGGGAGAGGGAGAGAGGGAGGAAGAAGGAAAAGGCCTGCCACAGAGGCAGAGGAAGGGAGGAAGGGACACTGGGGACATTGGTGGTGGGAAACGTACACTGGTGAAGGGACAGGTATTGGAACATTATATGGCTGAAACCCAATCATGAACAACTTTGTAACTCTGTATCTCACGAATTCAATTTAAAAAAAGAAAAGAAAAGAAAGAAAGAAAAGAAAGAAAGAAAGAAAAGAAAGAAAGAAAGAAAGAAAGAAAGAAAGAAAGAAAGAAAGAAAGAAAGGCACTGTCCCTTAAAAATATGCTTTGTGGGCTGGAGCGGTAGTACAGCTGGTAGGGCACTTGCCTTGCATGCCGCTGACCCAGGTTTGATTCCCAGCATCCCATATGATCCCTCACACACCGCCAGGAGTAATTCCTGAGTGCAGAGCCAGGAGTAACCCCTGTGCATCACTGGGTGTGACCCAAAAAGAAAAAAATATAAATTAAAAAAGAATGCTTTGTTCCCTGGACAGCACGGGGGTAAGGTGTTTATATGTGGCTGATTCAGTTCAATCTGTCACTGCATACATATGGAGATATGGCCTCACCCCCCCCCCCAAAAAAAAAACCCACTTTCTCTATATAGGAACAGAACTTAAAAGACTATTCTTAAGGAGAAAATTCGTTATAAGGAATATCACTATTTGGAGTGAAATTACTTCAGACACAGAACAAACTTGTATATTGCAAGAGCAAACTATTTTCTTGGGTAGTTATATTTAAAATACTTATATGACATATACTTCCTCTGCTATCTTCTGACTAGTTTTTCATTTTTTGAGTCTTATAATAACTCCTATTAAAATTTAAAATTTCTTAAGAGTCTTATACATTCATAGCACAGCGGATAGGATGTTTGCCTTGCTCGCAGCCAACATGGCCGACCCGAGTTCGATTCCTGCGCCCCTCTTGGAGAGCCCGGCAAGCTACTGAGAGTATCTTGCCCGCGCGGCAGAGCCTGGCAAGCTCCCCGTGACGTATTCGATATGCCAAACACAGTAACAAGTCTCACAATGTTACTGGGCCTGCTCAAGCAAACTGATGAACAATGGGAGGACAGTGACAGTGACAGTGACATTCTTTTTAGTATAGTTAAATAAAGAAGCCTACTGATGCAGGGAAAATACATTAATTGGAGACCACAAACTGGGGTATCATCATATAAGGTATCTGTAGGGTTAACAATCATATAATTTAAAATGCTTAATGTAATAATTCATCTATAAATCCATTACTTTGATACAGTGGTAGTAGCCTATTAGAATAGAACTTTAGAATAGAATAGGGCAGAAATACAGGCCGATCACCAGCATCCCATATGGTCCTCCGAACCTGCTAGGAATGATTCCTGAGCATAACCAGGTGTGGTCCCCCCACTCCAAACAAAATAAAAATAAATAAAATGCAGCCACTTAGTTACCTACTTAAGACATCAGCAGGAATGTAAAATAAAAAAATTGAGGCTTTTTTTTTTTTATGAATAAGTCTACCTGCAGCTCCAAGACAGAGCAGTGTTTCAATTAACTCAGGAGTGGAGCTGGAGCGATAGAACAGCAGTTAGGGCGTTTGCCCTGCACGCGGCTGACCCGGGTTTGATTCCCAGCATCCCATATGGTCCCCTGAGCACCACCAGGAGTAATTCCTGACTGCAGAGCCAGGAGTAAGCCCTGTGCATTGCCAGGTGTGACCCAAAAAGCAAGCAAGCAAACAAACAAACAAACAAAAAACCCAAAACCAATTAACTCAGGAGAGTTGATTTTCTGTTCTAGTGGTTCGGTGGTGGTTTATCATTTTAGAGAGGATCGGAAGAATGAACGAGTATCCAAATAGTTCATTGAATTCATCCTGTGAAAGGCTGCAGCACAGTAATGAGAAGAAACTGGCCCATGAAGAATGCCCATTACTTTCCTTTTCTTATTCTTTCTGGAGAGAGCAACATCCAGCAACGCTCGGGGATCACAGCTGGCAGGGCCTGGCGGGGGACCAGACACAGTACCAGCTACGGAACCTGGCTCAGGTGTATGGAAACACAGTGTCTCTTCTGCTGAACTCTCTCCCCAGCCCCCTTCCCTACAACTGCCTCCCAATGCAGACTATCTAGACAAATTACACGAATCGAGATGACGCTTGCATGCAGACTACATAGAACCAGACTCAGTGCAAGAATAAAGCAAAGGGTGGTCTGGCTCAGTCCCCCCGAATGAACCTTCTTCCAGAGAGAAGGAATGAACCTTCCCCTCTGTTGACTCTGCTTTAGATCTACTTCTAGTGTCAAGAAAGAGGTCTCTCATGGCACATTTTCATAAAAAGCATGTTTTAGTTTATTTTCGAGATGATGAAATACAAGCCTTGCAGTCTGCCAGGGCAATTCACCGGGCACCAAGAGGGTGGCGAGGGGGGCGCGGGTGCCCCAGACTGCCCCTCGTCCGTATGCGAGGGTGGGGCTTCGAGGCGGGAGGCGTCCCGGAGCTTCCTCTGGCTCCTCTGCGTTCATCAGGCCTTGTGCAGGGAGGCTGAGCAGCTGGCTAATTAGATCAGCCTTTTCTCTCCTTCCCCTTCCGCCTCCGCTGGCCTTTCCTCCCATTTCATTTTCTGCCAAGTCCTCTCCAAGAGGCAAGACAACCAGAGGGGAAAATGAAATTCCCAAGTCCAGGTCTTCAGAATCCATCACCCCCGAATCTTTTCCAGAAGCCACGAAGCCTTTCTCCTATTGAAACTTTGAAACTCCTATTTTCGACCGGACTAGCTCGTTTCAGAAATGGAAACATATTTCCAGATATATTGCACACAACTACTGGTTTCAATGGGCATCTGACTGTTAAGAATCTGTATCTGACAGGACCGTATTTGGTGAATCAAATACAGCTGACTACTAATTCGGATAAAATTTCTCAGCATTACTAAGAATGACTGAAAGGAGGGGAGTAAAAAAACTGGCATTGACCCAGAAGTCTGGAACCATCTGAGTTACTGAAAACCATGAAAAGTTATTCCCAATAGCCATTGTAGACAAAAATGTGAACAGGATAATATAATACTTCGAAAATATTTTAATTTTCACCATTTTTTGTTGCCTGTGCTATTAATATATACATCGATTTGGTAATAAATATACTATTATGGAGTGCAATATCTTTTAGTATTCATAATTGTTTGAAATTAATGCTGCTATTATCTCAAGAAAGGAATAAATAAATATCATGCCCCAATTCCAAACTAATGCTCAAGAGATCATCATTAACAAAAAAACTATAAAATAAACAAGCTGGGCATTATCTTTTTAAGCACGACTCTTGTAAACATAGCAACGATCATTTTTCTCAGCCTTGACATTCATGGATGGCTTCAAAAAATAACATACAAATTCATGTCTTCGTTTTCTTCTTTTCTTTCTCTTTTATGATTTTTTTTTTTGCATAGGGAATGAATTAATCCGTATTTTAAAATGCAGCAACCTTTCAGTGAAATGTCTTCAGCTTCGTACAGCGCTTGTCTTCTGTATGAATTCTGAACTTAGGAACGATGAAAGTGCTTGGCATCAATTTGTAAAATATGCTTTTCGGGACTTGAAAGTGAACAGGAAAACTGCAAAAAAAGAAGTCAAAGCTACGGTTCGAAAAGATTATGTACAGAATATTGACTACAGGAGGAAAGCCTCACTGTAGCACAGCGCAGTGTACAGAGATGAAACACAGTGTTCAGAGAATTTCTCTTTAGGTTGTCCTCACAGTGGGCCTTGGAGGCTAAGGAGCGTGTTCCCACACTGTGGCCCATTCTGCTTTCACTCGAAGTAGAAGGCGAGGGATGAGAGGCCAAATTTAATGTAGATTATGGGGTGTGGGCAGGGGGAAAATGGCAGAAATACAGTACATACGCGTCAAAACGGTGCGCCTTATGAAAGAGGTGGTTTCATTCATATTCTCTTATAAAGTGCAGCTTCGCTGAAAACAGACAGGTACCTTAATGCTTCGTAATCACCATTAGAACAAACTGCCAGGAAGGAGCAGTGCAAAGGTAGGAAACAAGACGTAGCTTCGCATGCAGCTCAGGTGGGCCCCATAGCACAAAGGCCCTTCAATTCTCATATATATACATATATATGTATATATGTATATATATATATATATAGCTTTGCTTTTTAGAAAAAGAATAATAATAGCTGGTTATTATCATACTTAACCATAACATAAAAACAATAAGTTAAAATCCTCTCTCAAGAAATAAGATAGGCCACACACCAAATGCGTGACAGAATCTTTCTGAGAACAGTCAAGACCTTTTTCTCTGAGAAACCACTATTCAAAGGGTGCAAATCTCTTTTAAAATACACACACACTCCCCACACACACACATACACACACACACATACATACACACACTCACACACACACACACACTCACATACGTGGCCACATGGCAGAGCCACAGGCTCCTCCCAGCCCGAGTCCACTGAGGCCCGCAGACGGCCGACAGGCCTGGACCTTCCTGTGTGAGTTGTTCAGCTCTGACCCATCCCTAGTGAACGTCCCCGCCATCTCTGCTTCTTCCAGAACAGTGCTGTGGGCGCCACGCTGGGCTGCCCGGCACCAGACCGTGTGCTCTATTCACAGTATTGTACTTAGTCCAGTGCTTTTGGACCAGGATGCCCCCGTTGGGGTTTCCTGGAAAGAAAAAAGAAAAAATATTCCCCTCAGGGGCAGATTCCAGGGGGACGGCCGGGACGCATTCTGGAGGAGCCCACAGCGGGCCGGTCAGTCCGAGAACTGGAAGAGGGCGTCCGTGCTCGCACTGTCGGCTGCTCCGCCGGGCTGCAGAGCCTTGGTGGGGGTGGTCTTGCCGTGCGAGTGTGAGGACGAGGAGTGGGAGCTCTCGCTGGAGCTGCTGCGTGTCTCCGTGCTCGTGCTGGTCTTCTTCATCTTCCTCCTCTTGGCCAGAGGGGCCTTGTCCACGTTCTGGAGGCAGAAGCCCTCTCGCTTATACTTGTTGAAGGCCTAGGAGAGGAAACAGGGGAACTCGGTGAAGGGAAGGCACTGGCATGGTTTTTTTTTTTTCTTTTTGGAAGTTAGTAACTTACAGCAGAAGGCCACTATCGTTTGGGGGACAGAGTCCTGAGAACTGGGGTTTCTGTACCACCTGGCAAGGGTTGATTGACTGACTGTGTGGTTTTGGGGGTGTGTTCAGGGCTGACTCCTAGTTCTGTGCTCAGGGGTCACTCCTAGGCAGGCTCAGGGGACCAGATGGGGTGCTGGGAATTGAACCCAGGTTGGCTGCATGCAAGGCCAGAGCCTCTTCCTGCCGTACTATTTCTATTTTTCCCCTTTTTGGGTCACACCCGGTGGTGCACAGGGCTTGCACTCAAGAATTACTCCTGGTGGTGCTCGGGAGACCATATGGAATGCTGGGAATCGAACTCGGGTCAGCTGCGTGCAAGGCAAATGCCCTACCCACTGTGCTATTACTTCGGCCCCCTGCTTTGGTTTCTGGCTTTGCTGCCAAAGTCGAACCAGCTGGGCTGCGAGGAAGGTGTCCTAACACTGTCAGAAGAACTTAGAGCCGCCTCTCCAGGATTTGTGGTTGAGAAATTCTTAAAACATACCCAGGATCTAAAGCACACCCCCGCCCTATGCCGGACCCCTCTTTTCTGAGCTGTGAAACTCTGAGTGCTCGGGCCAGGGAGACAGTTCTAAGGGACGGAGGGCATGCTTTGCAGTAAGTTTGGTTTTGCAACCCAGCACTGCCAGGATGGACCCCGAGTCAGTGGCCGGGAATAGCCTCTGAGCACTGTTGGCTGTGGCTCCAAAGGGAAGTGGAAACCACAGAAAGTTCTAGTCCAAGTCTCAGTTAAAAGGGCTTCCTAGGGGCTGGAGCGATAGCACAGTGGCTAGGGTGTTTGCCTTGCATGCGGCCGACCTGGGTTCAATTCCCAGCATTCCATATGGTCCCCTGAGCACCGCCAGGGATAATTCCTGAGCACAGAGCCAGGAGTAACCCCTGTGCATTGCCAGGTGTGACCCAAAAAGCAAATAAGTAAATAAATAAAAGGGCTTCCTACTCTCCACTTCCTGTCCAGCATAATGGAGGCAGATCTGGACCCCTCCCATGGCCATAGACGCCGGGCTCTGCGGAACTCCGCTTAGTGGCCTGCCTGTCCTCTGCTTAGCCCACGCTTGGACCTGACCCTGGTTACTCCTGCCAGCCGTGCCCCAACCAGCTTGTATCTGCACGCCCAGTTCTTCAACACTTCCTGGGTCCTGAGTGGTTTGCTTTGTCTCTGGGACTGAAGAGAAAAGTTCTCCCTTCTTCCTGTCTCAAGATTACCCCTCCGAAATATAAATTTCCTTTGGAGGGGGCGGTTGTTCCTAGCAGTGCTCGAGGGACCTTGTGGAGCCATGGATCAAACTTGGACCTCTCCAGAGAGATCGCACTGGGATGAGGCACTTGTCCTGCACGCATCTGGCCTGAGTTTGATCATGGGAACCACATGAGCCTTGCCAGAAGTGACCCCTGAGCACAAAGCCAAGAGAAAAACTGAGCACTGCTGGGAACTACCCCTCCCCCCCAACAAACAAACAAAACCTTGAAAAATTCAACAAAAACCCTAAACAAAAAATCCCTGGGCCTCCTACAGGCAAGGCCTGTGTGCTGACCTTCTCTCCTCTGGCTCAGAAGGCCTGAATGTACTTTACTCCTTGTACTTTATCTGAGTGGACTGTTACTGCTCGGTACAGAAGTATAATAAAGTCTACAGTTATAGTCCCAGCCTTTAGTGAAATCTTACGGTTTTTGTTACTATCTTGGAGGCCCATGTGGGGGGGGGGGGGGGCGGGGGACATGGAACAGGAGGAGACTTACTGTGCCAGGGATCATTCTGCACTATGAGCTTTGTTTGGGGAAGGGGGCGTATTGCCACCCCTGGCAGTGCTCAGGGGTCATTTCTGGCTGGGCCTAGGGGCCCAGATATGGTGCTGGGGTGAGCAGTGTGTACAGCAAGTGACTTAACCCCGTGACCATCTCTGGCTCAAAGCCTTTCTTTTCCTTTTGGACTTTGGGCCACACATAAGAGTGGTTGGGGCGGGGGTGGAGTGATGGCACAGTGGGTAGGGCATTTGCCTTGCACGCAGCCAACCTGGGTTCGATTCTCAGCATCCCATATGGTCCCTCGAGCCCCACCAGGAGTAATTCCTGAGTGCATGAGCCAAGAGTAACCCCCAAAAAGAATGGTTGGGGGCGTGATTTGGCTCTGTGCTTAGGAATTATACCTTGAACCATATGCAGTGCCAGGGAATCAAACTGTCATCGACTGCAAACAAGGCAATGCCTTCCTCACCCTGTGCTACTTTCTCTGACCTCTTGATCTGAGTTTAAGAGTAACTAACTCTGACCCTCACAGTCCCTCAGAGGCATTAGATATAAAAAATTAGTGAACTTCCACATATGCCTTGGTTCCTAATGTGTAATGGTTTTTAAAGAAACGAATTAGCCTAGTTGAGGGAAAGATATTCGAGTTTTGGACAATTTGACATACTGTTCTCATTATCCACTGGGCATTCTCAATGATCCAACATATCTCACTATTGGGACTGGAGAGAGAGCACAGCGGGGAGGGCATCTGCTTTGCACGAGGCCAGCCTGGGTTCGATCCCTGGTACCCCACATGGTTCCCGCACCTGTCAGAAGTGACTAATGAGTGCAGAGCCAGGAGTAAGCCCTGAGCATTGCTTGGTATGGCCTTCCCCAAGACAAAATTACCAACCCTCCCCAACCCCCCCAAAATCTGGGCTAGCTGGGACTCTGGTCCCTGTGCGCTTTCTCTTTCTAGTCTGTTCACGGCAGCAAGGGCTTCACAGAAATCCATCTGAGGGGAAAAATGGCTTCTTTAAAATGCATCACTGGCATGAAACCCAGGGCCTTTGAACACTCCCATTCGATCCCTTTCAGAGTGTCAGGTGCCTTACGTGGAAGGTGGCTTTCACGCAGGTGTGCACGGCTGCGCCCGAGGACCCCAGGATGTCCGGCGTCATCAGAGGGTTCGATGACAGCTGGCTGCCATCTTGAAGCCATTCGTTGTATCTCAGACCGGACATTTTAAGCCTCTTATTTGGGTCGACCGTGAGCAGCCCTGCAGGGAGAATCATAATGTCTCTCGCTGATGCCCGGCCATGGCCTAGTCTAGGACACGCCTCGGACAGGAAACCTGTCCCCAACCAATGTGCTGTTGGGACATGACAGCTTGCCCAAGGCCTCTGCCTGGCCCTGCCTGTGGGCGGCCAGATGTGGGGTCGTGCACAGAGGCTAATATTGGTAGGCTGGCTGGCTCCAGACTAGACTCTTCCCGGGACAGGGTCAAGGCCACCGTAGAAGAGCACCCACACCACGTCACAGGGTGCAGGATGGCACAAGAGGCCTGGGGTGGAGCTGGGAGGACCTGCCTGGCTCACGGGGTTCCAGGCAGAGCCCTCACACCCAGTGCAACTGTGGACCCAGAGGAGGGCCAGGGCAGCGGGTGGGTACCCCAGAAAGGGATGAGTCCAAGGGTTCTGTGAAGATGAGCGTACGGGGATAAAGGAGGCATGTCCAGTCCCACAGGAATCTTGACACTTGTCTTGTTAAATATATTCGGGGGCTGGAGTGATAGTACAGTGGGTAAGGCACTTGCCTTGCACATAGTCAACCCAGGGTTCGATCCCCGGCATCCCAGTGGGTGCCCTGAACAAGGCCAGGCACACCCCCACAAAAAACAAATAAGAGTTAAAATAATAATAATAATAATAATAATAATAATAATGGAGATACAGTGTTCTGCCACTGCAGGGTAAGGGGACGGGACTCAGAGGCAGGAGGACTCTGAGGTCTGGGTCTGTGAGAGAAGAGACGGATGAGGCTCCTGGTGGCCACTGGGAGTCTGGCCACCTGGCTGACTGAGGGCAGTCAGGTGACAGCAGAGGAAGGGACACAGGGTGGGACGTCATGGGGGAAATATGGCATCATGTGAACGGGCAGGGGACACTGAAACCGCCAGCCTGAGTGAGGGGCTGCAGGAGCCCTAGAGGTGTGGAAAGGGAATGGGAAGGAAGAGAGAGGGTGCCATCTGGGATGAGGCTGGGGTTTCTGTTCCATTGATCTGGCCTCTTGGCAGTGCAAAAGGAGGGAGGTCGAGGAGAAAGGGGGAAGGAGTGCTACAGTAGGTCCATGTTGGACATGTGGACTGAGGCTCCAGCTATGAAGGCAGGAAGGAAGGGAAGGAAGCATGTTCTGAGACAAGAGAGCATCTTCTGAGAGGAAAGGAGCGTGTTCTAAGAGAAAGGAGCGTGTTCTCTCTTTGCAATAGCCAGAATCTGGAAAAAACCTGAGTGCCTGAGAACAGATGACTGGTTAAAGAAACTTTTGGTAGATCTACACAATGGAGTACTATGCAGCTGTTAGAAAGGATGAAGTCATGAAATTTACACACAAGTGGTACTGCATGGAAAGTATCATGCTAAGCGAAATGAGTCAGAAAGAAAGGGACAGAGATAGAAAGATTGCATTCATCTGGGGAACATAAAGTAACAAAATAGGAGACTAACACCCAAGAATAGCAGAGATAAGTACCAGGAGGTTTACTCCATGGCTTGGAGGCCAGCCACACATGCTAAGGGAAAAGGCAGCTCAGATAGAGAAGGGAGCACCAAATAAAGGGTGTTGGGAGGATCCTCCCAGGATGGGAGAAGCATACTGAAAGTAGACTATAGACCAAACATGATTGTCACCCATTGCCTCTTTTGCAAACCACAGCACCCAAAAGGAGAGAGAGAACAAAAGGGAATGTCCTGCCACAGTGGCAGAGTAGGAGGGGGGTGTGAGGGTGGGGGGTGGGAGGGATACTGGGACTGGTGGTGGTGGAAAATGGGCACTGGTGGAGGGATGGGTATTTGATCATTGTATAATTGAAATCCAAGCACAAAAATCTGTAAGTCTACAACTGTACCTCTCGGTTTGTCACTAATAAAAATTAAAAAAAAAAAGAAAGGAGGGTGTTCTGAGAGAAAAGAGCATGTTCTGAGAGAAAAGAATGTATTCTGAGAGGAAGGGAGCATGTTCTGAGAGAAAGGGAGTGTGTTCTGAGGAGAGGGGAGCATGTTCTGAGAGGAAGGTCATGAGGATGAGGGACTCTCTTGGCCCTATGGCACTTTCAGTCTCCTCAGTTCAGTGGCTTCCCGGGCTTGCAAACGGTCACCTTTCATGGGATTCTTACCTTGGATCAAATCTTTAGCCTCTTGGGAAACATTCTTCCAGGCTTCTCCTTCAAAGGAAAAATCTCCCTTTTTAATTTTCTTCATGATCTCCACTGCGCTGGTACATGTCAAACTTTTATCCTGAGACTGGAATGGGACCTGTCCCGACAACATGGTATACTACAGAGAGAGAGAGAAAGAGAGAGAGAGAGAGAGAGAGAGAGAGAGAGAGAGAGAGAGAGAGAAAGAGAGAGAGAGAGAAAGAGAGAGAGAGAGAGAGCACAGTGTAATGATGGTCACAATGACTGTCAAGTCACCCCAGGGAGAATGATGATCATTTTCATTTTTGGCCACACCCAGTAGTGCTTGAGGGACCTGGTGACATGGGGGAATTGAACTTGGACCTCCTACATGCCACACCTGGGCTCAGCCTGCAGAAAGAACGGCATCTCTGTCCATTCTCATAATTTCATCACCCGTGTCATGAGTGTGATTCGCCAGGAGCTAGCATTATGGGTTTAGAATGTGACTTCACGGCCAGAGACATAGTACAACAGGGAAAGCACTTGCCTTACACACAGCCAGCCCAAATTCCATCCCTGGCACACTCTATGGTTCACTGAGCCCCACGAAGAGTAACCCCTGAATGTAGAGCCGGAAGTAAGCCCTGAGTGTATTTGAGTGTGGCCCCCAAACCAAACAAAGATTGGACTTTCATCACTGAAACAAAGCTTGTACAAGAAGTAGCCTGGCTTGTTATATCAAGATTTAAAGCCAAATTTAAAGTTTTATAATTACATTCAGGGGAATAAGAACAAGAAGTGATAACCCAGGGGCCAGAGAGATAGCACAGCAAGTGCATGCAGTCAATCTGGGTTCAATTCCAAGCACCCCCACATGGTCTTGATCCCACCAGGAGTGATCCCAGAGTGCAGAGCCAGGAGTCGGCACTGTGTGCAATCTCGAGATCAAGAAACAAAACAAGATGGTGCTCATGGTGTTTTATTTTTATTCTTCTCTTTTGCTTTCTGGGTCACACCCGGCGATACTCAGGGGTTCCTCCTGGCTCTGCACTCAGGAATTACTCCTGGCGGTTCTCGTGGGACCATATGGGATGCTGGGAATCGAACCCGGGTCGGCTGCGTGCAAGGCAAACACCCTACCCGCTGTACTGTCGTTCCAGCCCATCATGGTGTCTTAAAATTGTCAGGCAACAGCTCAAAAGGAAGGAGCACAGGCTTTGCCTGCCACACACTGGGCTCAACCCCTGGCACAGCAAGGGTCCCGAGGATTAGGTGATCACTGCCCGCAGCAATGTCGGCTGTGGCAAATACCAAACTAACCACCACCAAAAAAGGCGAATTAGAGTTACCAAAAAACAGAATCTGTAAAACCTCTCCTAATGACATGGTTTTCCTCCCCAATACCACATCACCAAACCCAAGGATGCATGCAAAAAAAAAAAGTTAAGAACTTTCAACCATTTCTTTTTCTTCATTTGGGCTTTCCTCTTTTGTTTATAAGGATCTCCATTTAAATTTTATTTTGTTTGTGGTTGTGCTTACTACACGGAATTCTCCACGAGCACCTGTGTTTACTGAAGCCGTGTGGTTAAGAGGCCGCCCCGAAGGAGGTTTCTGCCCTTTGAGAGGGCAAGAGAAAACCCTAAAAGCTGAGGCTCGTCTTTGGGGCCAGCGGGCTCTGTCCACAGAGACGGAGGCCACAGGGCGAGGTGCAGTCGGGGAAGCCGGAAGGGACGCCGAGAGGAGAATGTCACTTGAGGGAGGGTTTCGAGAGCCAGCCCCCATGGGCAGGGAGCCAGACTCTGGCTCTCTCGTCCAACCTCAGGTCCCTAGGTGAGGCAAACGGTCCCCTCACCAGGCAGGACGGTGAGGCAGCTTGTGCCCGACAGGTCTCAGGAGGCAGGGAGACTCCCAGAGGCAGGAGATGCCATGAGGTGGGCACTGAGCCTGAGAGGAACAACGGCCGCAGGCTGTGAGGAGATGGCCGGCACCTGGAGGCTGGCAGAACTGGAAGCGGGGGTGAAAGAAAGCCGAGAGACCCAGGAGGAGGAAACTAATCCTCGTGGGGACAGACAGTGTGGAGACAGAAGACAAACAGGAGCCACTAGGGTTACGGATCTGGAGCAAGCTGACAAGAAAGGCATTTGCTGGGAGAAAGAAACTGTGAGGAACAGAACAAACGGCTTTAAGGAGCCCGAGCAGATGGTATTCGCGGGGCGGCACGCGGGCTGGTCTAGACGGACGAGGCCTTGGCAGCTCAGCCGCCTCGTGTCCGTGCGTGCTGGACCCCGCCCAGCCTGTGGTTCTCGCCCTGCTCCCCACACGCCGTCGCTCCCACACTGACACGGCTGGAATCTCTTCCCCAGAAAGCAGCGTCTGCACCCTCAAGTCTTCAGGGATTTCTCAAGGATGCCCGGCCCAGAGGAAGGGGCATGAGGGCACGCCACAGGAATGTGAGGCCTGGTTGGCAGGAGTAGGCATTACCGAGTCCACAGAGTGCTTGGGAAGGGGTCGGGCGCCTGAGATACAAGATCTGTGAGCAAAGATGCTTCCTGCACAGACGCTCATCTGCCACAGCACAGAACCGTCAGAGACGCCCGATCTGGCTGGGGGATGGCACGGGGCCTTAGGTGCCTTCAGGATCGAGACCGGTGCTAGGGGGCTGACTTCAGTTGTGGAGGGAAAAGCTTTTTTTTTCTCGATCGGAGACAGTGCACAGACCTACCAGGGTCATTACCGTGCCAAAGTGATCAAACACTGTCCACATTTGCCAGTTGTTCCAGTAAGGGGCTGTGGCACCTGGTAAGGTCCAGCAGGAAAGGGATACACCCAGACTGTTGAGTCCTGCTTGAGGCACCCGGGACACAGACACACTCCTCCAGCGGGAGAGGGACTGACTTATTGACTGTGGTGACAGATGGCACTTTCGGTCAAATCCACTGTACATGGGAGTAAGTACCACGGGGAGTTCCCTGAAGCTGCCTCTGGCTCCCATCTCAAACCACAAGTCACGCTTCATCTCAGAGCTGGAGACCTTGAGACCTGCAGAGGCTGAAGCCACAGCACAGCAGGAAGGGCGCTTGCATTGCAAATGGCTGGCCTGCATTCGATCCCCAGCATCCCGTGTGATCCCCTGGGCACCACCAGGAGTGATTCCTGAGTGCAGAGCCAGGAGTAACCCTTGAGCATGGCCAGGTGTGGTCCCCAAACTCAAAAGAAATAAAGATCTGAAGTTTCCAGGGTAGGAGACCCCATCATGGTGATTCAATCTGGTTCTGCAAAACCCAGACAGACTCTGTGTGTGTACATGTGTGCATACGTGTGTATGTGTACGTGTGTATACGTGTGCATATGTTGTATGAATGTGTGTATGTGTACATTGTATAGGTGTGTATATGTATGTGTGTATATGTATGTATGTGTACATGTGTGTATGTGTACACTGTATAGGTGTGTATATAGGTGTGTGTATGTGTGTATATGTACATATGTGCACATGTGTGTATGTGTACAATGCGTGTATGTGTACACGTGTATGTGCAGGTGTATATGTGTGCATATGTGTATGTGTGCATATGTATGTATATACATGTATAGTTGTGTATGTGTATATGTACGTGTGTGTATATGTGTATATATGTGTGTATGTGTGTACATGTGTGTACGTGCAGGTATGTATGTGTGTGTATCAGAACAGACTCGTCTCTGAGCCTCAAACAGAGCTGCCATGCGGATGGCGGTACAGCTCTGTGGCCTTGGCACTGATAAGAACCCTGTGATCCAGCCAGCAAGCACTCCCCCAAAGTCCCAGTAACGGGAGAGGCAAGGACAGCAGAGTGAGAGCATCCCAAAATTTCTTGCTTTTCTGGGTCCTACCCACCAGTGTTCAGGGCTTATTCTGGGCAGTGCTCGGGGAAACCATATGTCGTGGCAGGGATCGAACCCGGGTTGGCCACGTGCAAGGCCAGGGTCCCATCCGCTGGATTGTCACTCTAGCCTCTCATCCTGATACTTTAAAAAGCCGAGGCTGTGTCTCTACGTGGATGTCTCCGGGAAGTGAAACCCACTTACCCACGGTTGGCAAGGGAATGACCAGGTAAACAGTCATTCACCGGTAGGCATGTGAATGGCAGAGAGGGAACATGCACTGCAGTCTCGGGGTACAATGACATGGCTAAGAGTCTAGGGGCCTCAGCTGGGGCACAGAGACAGTCCCCCCGAAAGGCAGACGGCCCTGCCCTCATGCCACGGGGTGCTTCAGTGGGGCACTTAGAGGCCTCCGTGTGTTCTACCCCGGAGAAATCCATCCAGCCGGCTATCCCCTGGGCTGGTAGGCTGCCTCTTCCAGGGGGGGCACTGGGTTGGCAGGTCTGCAGCAGCCAGCGTCCCATGCCAGACTGTACCAGCAGAATTCGGAAGATGGGGCTGCATAGAGTCTGGGGTCACCAACACAGGAATCCCAGAACTAGCCTGAACCAGCTGTTTGGATGTTCTTAGGCCTTCTCGGGCCTGTGAGGTAAGCCCGGTGGCGGCGAGCAGAGCACTGTGAGCTGAATCTGATGTCTAGATTCCTAACCTGGTGGCAGCCACGGGACATCCTGAGGACACAGAACACTCAGGACCAGGTCTCTAAGGCCGGAGCGAACCATGTGCCATCTGCGCACACGGCCTCCCTCTGCGGCACCAACACTTCTTCCTCATCTCATGCCTGTGGCCTCCCTGGGGGCCAGGGGCTAGGGTGAGTGGGGGGTGGGGTGGAGGCTGCCTCTGATCACGGGGCAGGGGAAGAAGAGAAGCCTGGGTTCAGGTGCCTATGGGTGCAGCTTAGAATGAGTCAAGCTCAGGGTGGGCCCCAACCCAGGCTAAGACCCTGTGGACCTAGCTCTGAGCAGAGGCCCGGGGGCTGTGTGCTGTTCTGCGCCACACGCCCAGATTCTGCAGGCGTCTGACTCATGCAATCTGTGTTTCCTCGGGGCTGTGTTTTCTTGGGCAAGAGCTCCAAGGGCTGAAGCAAACGGCCTGCACTGCAGCCTTCCACAAGAACCCCCAGGAGTGACCCTCAAGCCCAGCAGGGAGTTAGTCCTGAGCACTGTGTGTGGGGGGGGGGAGGGGAGAGGGTTCTATGACTTGGTCCCCCGCCTCCTATTCCCCTGGGAG